TGGCTTGGAGAATTTTGAGCATTACTTTGCTAGCATGAGATATGAGTGCAGTTGTATGGTAGTTTAAACATTTTTTGGCATTGCCTTTCTTTGGGATTGGAATGAAAACTGACCTTTTCCAGTCCTGTGGCCACTCCTGAGTTTTCCAGACTTGCTGGCATATTGAGTGTAGCACTTTCACAGCATCATCTTTTAGGATTTGAAATAGCTCAACTGGAATTCCATCACCTCCACTAGCTTTGTTCCTAGTGATGCTTTCTAAGACCCACTTGACTTTGCATTCCAGGATGACTGTCTCTAGGTGAATGATCACACCACCATGGTTATCTGGGTCGTGAAGATCTTTTTCGTATAGTTCTTCTGTGTATTCTTACCACCTCTTCTTAGTATCTTTTGCTTCTGTTAGGTCCATACTATTTCTGTCCTTTATTGTGCTCATAAATGTTCCCTTGGTATCTCTAATTTTCTTGAAGAGATCTCTAGTCTTTCCCATTCTATTGTTTTCCCTATTACTTTGCATTGATCACTGAGGAAGGCTTTCTTATCTCTCCTTGCTATTCTTTGGAACTCTGCATTCAGAGGAGTATATCTTTCCTTTTCTCCTTTGCCTTTAGTGTCTCTTCTTTTCTCAGCTATTTGTAAGGCCTTCTCAGACAACCATTTTGCCTCTTTGCATTTCTTTTTCTTGGGGATGGTCTTGATCCCTGTCTCCTGTACAATGTCACGAACCTCTCTGTCCACAGTTCTACAGGCACTCTGTCTATCAGATCTAATCCCTTGAATCTATTTGTCACTTCCACTGTATAATCATACGAGGTTTTATTTAGGTCATACCTGAATGGTCTAGTGGTTATCCCTGATAAGTCTGAATTTGGCAATAAGGAGTTCATGATCTGAGCCACAGTCAGCTCCTGGTCTTGTTTTTGCTGACTATGTAGAGCTTCTCCGTCTTTGACTGCAAAGAATATAATCAGTCTGATTTCAGTCTTGACCATCTGGTGGTGTCCATGTGTAGAGTCTTCTCTTATGTTGTTAGAAGAGGGTGTTCACTATGCCCAGTGCGTTCTCTTGGCAAAACTCTATTAGCCTTTGACCTGCTTCATTTTGTACTCCAAGACCAAATTTGCCTGTTACTCCAGGTATCTCTTGACTTCCTACTTTTGCATTCCAGTCCTCTATAATGAAAAGGACATCTTTTGTGGGTGTTCTAAAAGGTCTTGTACGTCTTCGTAGAACTGTTCAGCTTCAGCTTCTTCAGGAGAATTATGTACATCAAACTTCTCGTTTTGGGAGATACAACTCTTTTGCATAACAGTATAGGGTTATCTACTTTGGATTGTTAGAAATCTGTTGTGGTTTATCTAATCAGTAAAAGACTGGGAGAGAGCTAACTGTTTTCTTTATACTATATAATGAGTAATTTTAAGAATGTTATTTCTAGGTAAAGGTCAAGGCTTTGGTCAGCAGTTGAGTCAGAGTTTACTATACGGCTGTGGACTGGTAACCAATGATAAGCTGCCAAGCTAAAGCCTTTGTCCTGAGCAATTGCCTCAGGACAGAATTGCTTGTTGTTAGCTTATTCTGGATGGTATTTGGAGCAAAAGGTGATTATAGTTAAAACCAGAAGAAGAATGCTGAATCAGTGACCATTCTTGTTAATCACCTTTTCCCATTTTAAGGCTTCTTTATGATACAGGTTTATGTGTCTATACAAGAAACAATAGAAACTGAAGCCATTAAAAGTCAAAGTAAAGCAGTCTAAGTGAAAGAAGACTTTGCTTCATTCCTCAGTCTGTTCATAACCCTAGACAAGGGCCAAAACATAAATTTACATTTATTTATTGATAAAGGAATCTTGAACCTGAAAACAATTGGGAAGATATAGTACCACTGATTATGGCACACTTATCATGTCACCACTTGAATTAAAGAAGAATCATTTAAACAAAATAAAGATGACTTTATAGACCTAAATAAGAAAATCTTTGTTAACTAAAATCTTTTGAATTGATGGTCAGATTGATTTCCCCCCAAACCCTTATTCTTACTGGTAATAGTGGAGACATCTAAATTACAATTTGGCTTTGTAATATCTTCAAGTTTAATGCCAGAAAATGAAAAATCTGGAGATTTCAAATGCTAGTTTAATTTTTATATTCTTGTTGACATTTGATCCTTATGCAAATGGATACTTTCCAGTTAATAATTTGTCAGATTATCTGTGAAAATTTGCTCTCACATGTTTGAGCTTGATATATCATGAAAACATGAAGGTAGCACAATTTAGGATTTACTTCAGCAGTGGAAGAGATGATTGTGTGGCAACATAAAGTCATCGGTAGGGGTCCTCTTATTACCAATGTCTGGTAATGAATATATATGATTCAATTAAAAGGTAAAAATGTCCTGAAATAAAATTTTAATTAGCCCAACATAATGCTGTTTCTGATGAGTCTATCTAAAAAAGTCATATATTCTCTGTCCATGATTTGTTGACGTGTAATTAATGCACTAAATAAGAAAATCTATGTTAACTAAAATCTTTTGAATTGATGGTCAGATTGATTTCCCCCAAACCCTTATTCTTACTGGTAATAGTGGAGACATCTAAATTACAATTTGGCTTTGTAATATCTTCAAGTTTAATGCCAGAAAATGAAAAATCTGGAGATTTCAAATGCTAGTTTAATTTTTATATTCTTGTTGACATTTGATCCTTATGCAAATGGATACTTTCCAGTTAATAATTTGTCAGATTATCTGTGAAAATTTGCTCTCACATGTTTGAGCTTGATATATCATGAAAACATGAAGGTAGCACAATTTAGGATTTACTTCAGCAGTGGAAGAGATGATTGTGTGGCAACATAAAGTCATCGGTAGGGGTCCTCTTATTACCAATGTCTGGTAATGAATATATATGATTCAATTAAAAGGTAAAAATGTCCTGAAATAAAATTTTAATTAGCCCAACATAATGCTGTTTCTGATGAGTCTATCTAAAAAAGTCATATATTCTCTGTCCATGATTTGTTGACGTGTAATTAATGCACAAGTTTTTCTTAAAGAGCAGCTAGAATGGAATTGTAAAAAGGCAGTTACTCTGCTTGAGACAACATAACCTCCTTATTTTACCTTCCTCGTTCTGTTTGTATTTAGATTTATGGTAGCAAATTGAAGGACAGTGAATTTAAGAAGAGATGGTAATCTTAATTCACTAGAAAGCTGATCAGTTCTTTGTGTGGGAGAATTCTTTGCTCTGCCTTCTTTCTTTTGTGTCTTTTACTATACCTCAGGCTCAGAACAGACACGACTGAGCACACACACACACAACAGGCTCAGAAAGTTGATTGTATCCTCAGCTCACAGCACAGTACCATCATTTGTCCGTATAAGGCCCTTATTTTATTTTATATACAGTTCCACCCCATTCCAATAACAGGCATTAGTTTGATGTTTCTTTTAAACCTTGAGTTGTGCATCTATCTTTGAAAAACAGGCAGTACTATTTTGTGTGTCCATATTTTTTATGTAAAAGTTAGTGTGCTATAAATTGTATTTTGCTTGTGTTTCCTTCAGTGCTATTTTAAGATTGATCCTTATTTCTGTATATCCATGTAGTTTGTTGTTTCTATACTACATTATCCCATTATATACATCTACCATGTTTTATCTTTTATTTGCTTCCCTAGTGATGGACATCTAGGTTGACTATAGTAAACAATATGATATTGAACATCCTTGTAATTGTTTTCTGAAGGACATTTTCTCTGGGATATATGCCAGGAATAGAATTACTGTTTTGCCTTTTGCCTCCAATAATTCTAAATTATTGGGCGTCACTAAAATACCATCTGAGAACTTTCTAGAATGGCTGGCCCAGATTTCCCTTTCACCAATTGTGCTTGAGAATTCTCATTCCCCTTTATGGGGAAACACAATTAAACCCCAAATCTCTTAGCAACTCAGAAAACCTCTCCACAGCAGTAGAAGGCAAAGGAAACAGTTTTATTGCTAAATAAACATTAAAC